AAWCATAGCTTGAAATATGTACTGGCTGGATATTCTTTAAGGATGATATGCACCAGGAATGAGAGGCTTCTACACCAWTATGTAGTCTCCTTCACAGTCTGTTCTCGTTTTCAGGTTCCCTGTTGTCTAGTATACACAGGAAGCCCAAAACAAGAACAGGCTACCAAGCACACAATGGAAGAATTAAAATCATACAATCAGTTTTTTTCTCCCTTGATAACTTGAATGAGAGCTTGGTGTTAATGAAAGTACAAAGTACAAGTCGTTTTTTTTGTAAAAATAAGCATTACACTAGTGCGTAGTCATCTTATTAAATGTTCTTAGCTTCCAAACAATTTGTATTTTGTGTGCAACATGTTTAACTAAAAAATTATTGCAAGTTCCACTAGCATTCCCAGCACTTGAAACCTCTCATGCACCTTGCAATTCTATTTAATATATATTCAATTGTTTATTTTGAGAAATGAAAATCATTTCTCACATGACCTGGCTAAAAATCCTGTACTCACCAGCCTGTATACTGTTGATCTGACTATTCAAATCCTCCTTCTCGTGAACTTTCTGATCAAGATTGGATGTCAGCTGTTGATTGAGRTCTTCTAGTTGTGATATCTGTGCTGCCTTGTCCACTATTTCACTCTTGTGTCTTGCAATCAGTTCTTTGACTTCTAATTCTATCATCGTCTTTTCTTTTTCCAAGTCTAAGTACTGRTCTTCAGCAATAGAACGAGCAAGCTGTTCAGAGTCAGCTTTGGTAAAAGTGAGTTCTAACTGAGCAGCAAGGGATTCCCTGAAAATACAGTTAATTTTTAGTTAAAGTGTATTTTACCTATCTTTACTTTACATACAATCTTACAGTGACATTTACTCAAACCCCTGGATCCAAACAAATTTTCYACAATTTRCCCTCTRATAGGCATTAAAACACCCGAGACTTGGTTTGTATGGTTAACAACAAAGAAGTAATAATCTATTTGATACAATTTACAGCTTGGTAAATTATACTACTGTAAACATTGATGAAATGTTTGTTGGAAATTTGGCCTTGGTTAGCATATACATGTAGGCACTATAACAAACTTACAAAGATCCCTAAATTCTATGCTCAATATTTCAAACAATTAAATCCCTTTAACAATATCCTATAGAGAATTAAGAGAGGTAATCCCCTTTGTTCCATTTCCCATTAGCCCCCTTTGAGTAGCCACAACTTATAATAAACAAAAAATCCATAAATAATATAAAAGAACAATCAAGTGATATTAACCAATAAATTAAATAWTGAAGCAAGAAATTCTCTCAGTTAACACACCTTTCTTCTTGTAATTGTGTTATGTTCTTTTGTAACACCTGTACATGTTTACTTTTCTCATCAACCTCTTCTCTTAGTTCCTTGACTTGGGTCTTGTACAAGGTCTGGGGGTGAGATTGATATTAGTACACTGTGACCCTGTGTAGTATTGGATTATCAGGTTTGTACTCACTGAGAAATACTGTTCTGCTTCAAGCTGATCTTGTAATTCCTTTAGTTGTAAGTCATCCATGGCACTTGTACTAAATATCAATCAATCAAACAATCAATCAACAATAAGTCTGACAATCCATCCATCAATCAAATAATCAATCAGTCTGACAATCCATCCATCAATCATATAACCAATCAATTAATCAGTCTGACAATCCATCCATCAATCAAATAACCAATCAATTAATCAGTCTGACAATCCATCCATCAATAAAATAATCAATCAATCAGTCTGACCGTCCATCCATCAATCAAATAATCAATCAATCAATCAGTCTGGCAATCCATCCATCAATCAAATAATCAATCAGTCAGTCAGCCAGCCAATCAATGTTACAAAGTTCCCAATCACCACATAATAAGTAACTTAGACTTATTGCAACCTACCTCTTTAATTTAGAATAACCTTCTTCAAGTTGCCTTTTTTCTTCCAATATACTTTCCATTTGCTAAAAAAATGAATACAAAAATAAGCCATAAATTCAACGCTATTGTTACATACTYYCWCAGTATCTACACCACCTTTTGGATCTGACTCTCTGTACTTTTGGTTGTTGCAAGTTCTTGGGTTCGAGCCTCAAGTTCTCCTTCAAGTTGCGCTCTTTTTTGAGACTCAGCTATCAATTTATGATTGGTGTTCTCACTCTGCAAGCCAAGTAGACTATGTCAGGAAAAGAATAAATAGAAAAAGGAAGGAAGAAAGCAATAAAAGGAAAACAAATGGCAAAAAGAAAAAAAATAATGAAAGCAAGAGAAGAAAAGGAGAATAAAATGTTGAAAAGGGAGTGAAATGGCTGAAGAGAAAGCATGGGTACCTTCTCTTGAAGAGCCTTGAGTTCTTCTTTCACTCTCTCAAACTTCTGAGTAACATCCTTATAATCTGCAGCCATAACAGTCTTTGCTCTCTCTGCTTCAGCAGCAGCYGCTTCAGCCTTGGCCCTCAYTTCTTGTTCTACCTTGAGTCTTTCCACTAGACAAATTTTGTGTTCAGTAAGATAGTGACTYATACAACTATGAATGATATCAATACTTACTTGTTTTACTTTGCTCAACTCGTTCTTGAATGTGCTGCTCCTCAAGTGTGAGTGACAAACGCTTCTTTTCAGTCATGAATGACGATATTTGAGACTAAAGTAATGAAAAACAATCATGTGTGTTAGTATSGCTATTACAATTCCAGCATTCTGATTGGCTACTGAACTATAGTTTATTCATGTTTTTTTAATTCAATATATGGTCACCTTGAATGACGTAAAAATAGTCAAAAAAGTCTTTTATGGCCTTTTTTTCAAAAGTTGAATTTATAAAATACTAAACTATTAGACCACTCAGTCTGGTGAACTATGAGTTGATAGTCCATTCTGCTGGATGGCCTGATACAGAATCAACTTGTATTGACCTTTTGGTCTTAAATTACTCAAAATATTCAATCCAAAATTAATGTGACAGATCTCATTGACATTAAATAAAGTGTCATTTAGATATAATTACCTTGTAATCCAGTGTTGCTTGATCAAACTTCTGCTGTAATGACTTCAGTTCAAACTCTGTATTGGCTTTAGCCTGAAATATTGTATGAAGTTGCAATAATTATTTTATCACATACAATAATACTGACATTTCCCCTTCCCCTTCCATGTAACTACATATAAAAACATTTCACTAACCTTTTCAAGGTTGATCAAATCTTGTTGCAGTTTCTGTTGTAAATGTGCATCGGAAGCAGTCCTTGCTTTGAGTTGTTCATATTCATCTTTGATTGCTTGATATTGTGCTGTACAAAGTGACAGTAGGTAAGTATCTAATACGAAACTGTACAGACTACTGTAGCTAAATTAAGTAGTTTTTTTCTTTCATTATTTTTTAAAGTGCTAGTCTTACCAAAATAACACGTCTCAAAAACAGGTTTTATGTAATCCATATCGTTGAAATAACCATTAATTTATAATTTTATAATTGTTGACCACTATTAGCAAACTTACATTCAAGATCTGCTTTAGCAGTGTTCGCTTGGACTCTCATGTTGAACTCAGCTTCTAAACTAGCTTGAACTTTGATATGTGATCTTTCCAGCGATAACTATAAACACAGAGAAGTGAGTGTATTTGAGAATCATTCTACAAATCAAATAGATCAGTGTATTGTTACCTTCTGGTCGCTTAGTACTCTGTTCTTCTCCTGAAGGTCTCCATATGATCTTTCAAGAACTGCATATGACTGTAATATCAAAAATAGATGTTATCAGACTGATAGACAGACAGACGAGAATGAATACAGACAAGACATCTGTAATAACAATGCAGTGCTTGCAAGTAAAAATTAAAAACCTATCAAAATGATACAAGATATAGTGTCTATACATACAAGTACAGAGAGAGAGAAACAGACAGATGGACAAAACTGATGCCAACAATTTATCTACATACCTTTTGGAGATCTCCCAAAGCCTTTTTGTTCTTTGCATGGCCATCACTTTCAGTCTTCAAGTTTGCTTGCAATTCAGCAATCTGTTTTTCTAAATACGTAATTTTGGTTTGGACATTTTGTGATGACTGAGAGATCTTGTCTCTTGCATCAAGCTCTGCATCCAGACGTCCCTGAAGTTCTTGGGCTTTGACTTCATACTACAGAGAAAAGAATATGTCAACTACTGATTTAAATAAAGAAAACTTACAATTAATGTAGGGAAGAAATCATTAATTAAAAAGAAATATAGAGAAACAAAGGTGAAGCAGAAAAGTATTTTTTTTTAATTGCTAGACGTTATTTAGATGAACACCAATATTAATGTAATTGAATCCTCATACCTTTCTTTTAACATCAGTTTCATATTCCAATTTTCTTTGGATCTGTAAACAAGAAAGTAGAAAAAAATTAAATAAAAAAATAACAGAAAAGATCAAGAAAGTGAAAAAAAGACAAATGAAAAAAATGAATGAAAAGGAAATTATGCAAATAAAATGCTGCATGCATACATAAATTACATGTAAAAAGTAATGCCCTAATAATTAACAATGTAGTTTTCAACAATGACCCAAAGTCCAAATAAGGCTAAAAACAGCTGTCTGCATCTACCAGTTGGCTTATTTTGAATTCAATCAACATTGTCATAGTGACAAGGGCTTATCTTCTACATTTATCCCAAATAGGTTAATCCATTATCTAAGCTTTAAGATGTACTTCTGATCTTACTTTACTGAGTGAAGTTGTGAGATGTAAACGTTTTCACATTTTATAAACCTGATGGCCACAATACCAGTGGTAAAGTATGCATCAATATATAAACCCCTGGAGCTTTAGCATAATCTTTAGACATTGTTTATTTAATGCAAGTCTAAAACAAGTCCTGACATGACATACTTATGTGTATTACCCCCTGCCTCAACTAACATTAAGAAAGAAAGATTAACATTAGCTGGACAGAACTGCACTAAAGATAATAAATAATGTTTTTAGCCAGCTTTACACCACTTTTGCTATCAAAAAATAAATGAATGAACAAATGAAAAATGAATGGATGGATGAAAACTAAAAAAAATCACAAGCATGCAAATGGAAAAGTGACCAAGATGATTATCATTATTTTTTCATGACTATGACCTGGAGCAATCATCCATTAATATATGAAATGTTTTGAATTTTACCTCTCTAAGATCATATTTCATCTGAGCAGCATCTCTTTCTAATTCTCTATTTGCAGCCTCAGTATTTCTACGGCCTTCAGCCTATTCACACAAGGATATATTAAACACATTAAGAGACAAAAGTAATTACATTCAAAGGCAGTACAGGGGAGGGGGGTATTCAGTGGTGGCTGAGGTCTAATAGTGGTCAAGAAGAGTTTATATCAATACATAATTAGATTCATGAACTATCTGTTAACACATAGTTAGGTTAATATTAAATAAAATAACTATTTCCTTACCTCACTCTCAAATTCTCTGAGCACTTTCTCAAGCTTAGCAGTGGCAGCTCTGCAAGTGATCAAAACACAACATTCATAAGTTTCCATAACAAAATTTCATAGATCATGGAGCTGTTTTTTCTCAAATTCTAAACAATACAATGTCAAACATGCACATAATAACCAAGGGAGTGATTTTCAATAACAAGTAGATTGAAATTTCAGGTACAATACAGTAAAATGGACTATTTGAACGCTGTCTATTGATGAAAGTCAAAGGTTTCAAATGCACCTTAAATTGTTTTCCAAATCTCCTTTAGAAGTAAGTGCAATTCCTAAGTCACTTTCAAGTTGTTGAATTTTAAGCTTTGCTGCTTCAGCCTGCAGGAAACAAATAATGTGATATCATATCCACCCATTCTTAGAATAAGTAATAACTAATAACTGAATGACTGATGAAATCATATCGTGAGCTAACCTCTTTACTTGAGTTCTGGTTAGAATATGTGTGGCCATCCTAGTTGCAGAAATTAGAGTAACAACATTAGCTCTTTGCTCTACTACTGCTTTAAAAATGTTGTTGGTAGTTAATTGTGTTAATCATTTTTCTGAAATATAATTTTATTTTCAATTACATGTGTTTTATATAGAAGATGTCGTAGGGCATTTTAATATTACATTAAGAATTTGACTGCAAGTAAATAGTGGGGATTATAATAGAATGAGATGAAATATCATTGATTATAAAGCTGATGTATAAAGCTCTCTTAATGGAGATTGGTGTTGTTTCTCTCCCAAATCACCTTCAAGAAAACCTGATGCTCAGGCAATCAAATTAATGAATGACTGAATAGTAAGAAAAATGAATGAATGAGCACAATAAATCCAATGACGTGAATCCCTTGACTTAGACAATGTTTTCCTTTGTTTTATCATAGATGACAAAAGATAATAACATTTTCTTATATTTTGTAATTGTTTCAGTAGTGTGAGGGCCACGTGTTAGATAACTCCTTGGGTTAATCGTGTCACCCTCCTTAAATAAAGTTTATTGTATTGTATTGTATTGTATTACTTAAGTGACATTTAAAAATTTTCATTAAATCATGCTACTTTAAAAGAAAATTAATGGTTTACAGTTAATGTTGTGTAAATTACTTGAAAGTAGCTTGTATTACATACTTTTAACACAGCATGCAATTATAATTATTATGGTTCAATTAAGAGTTACATGTATGCATAGCAATTTATGAAAACTCTAAAACCAGATGATTTTACAACATGTGATATTTAGTGCAAAATGAACACTATGCAAAAAACTAAATGGTCAAATTACAAAAAAAATGGCCTGAGCTTTAAATTGTGACTAAGTGCTAAGTGCAAAATGGACATAATTTGCATAAAATGCGCATTCACTTCAAAACTATTCATTAAAAACCTGCACCCTGACACATGCTAGTTTTTCATCGATTGCTGGGTGATTTTTTTGTTTCGCCTTTGAGGCATTGCACTTCACAAAGAAATTTGCTTTTGTGCTAAAGTTGATTCTGAATAAGACTAACAGTTCATCACATGTTAGTAAAAAACAA